ATTCTATGATTCTCTTAAATATACACATTTTTCCAGTAGTTTTAACATCAATCTTAAGATTTTTCCAAAATCAGATTCCTTCAAAGTACTTATTTCCTTGAAATTGGTTCGAAATTGCTGATTTTCAAAAATCTCAATTCCTTTAAGATTTTAGCAACTTTCTCTCTAAATTTTTGATTGGATGTTTAAAAGGTAATATATTTTTATGAGCCTTACACATAACCTGTAAGATATCAATCAAATATATCAATCAAATCATAACATTTCCATAACCTGAACTGATAAAATAAAGTTTTTGTTGGGCGACTATCAGTGTTCCTAGTAATAATTCTTAACGCTCTTTCTTTTTGTAAAATTAGACTTGTAATTGTTTTACATACTTTTCAACAAACTTCAATACAAAAAATTAAACTTTGCATTATACAATAGAGGTTTATCATTTAGTCACTCTTTTACTTAATGCAACTTTTTATGGGATTTTTATGTCAGCTTTATATCAGTGACGACAAATAAAATCTTCACCTCACTCACTCTATAAATCTCATCACCATYGATTGTTCCGTTACTAAATATCATGTAGTTTGTTTTATCCAAACTCAATAACTTCAGTTGTAACAAGTTTGTATTTTCATAAATAATGTTTGAATCACCTCCAACATCTGTTCAATATCTTCACCAGAATATTTTTTGTGCGTCATCAGCAAACAAAAAACATTTTAAAAGCTTTGACACACTGACCAAATCATTCACATGCAAAATTTCAAATTTTGGTCCAAGCTCAGAACCCTGAAGAACCAAACAACTAATATTTAATATTAGTTGCTGGGTTCTTCTGCTTCTTTTGTTCTTAAGAAGCATGAATACAAGTAATTCTTATTTTACATGCATTTATTTTCATACAGAGCTKCCAAAATATTTATAAGCACATTATAGGCTCTGTTTACATCATCAACATACCCGTCCTTTCAGGTTTTAAGTTTACGTATTTTTCATTTTCTTATTTATTTTAATAGCTTTTCACTGCACTGACATACTTTATAAATTGTAAAAACTGTCACATATATCAGTTTTTATGAAGGATCATACAATGTTTATTTCCTGGAAGTTTAATTACATTCCACCCATTGGTTCATGTGGCATGTTTAAGAGATAGGCTAACACACAGGCAAAAATATTATCTCCCCCCTTTTTCCCCCTTTGGCAGCAAGTGATAAATGTGAGATGACAAATACTTGACTGAAAATCTAACTCCGGTTTAGTTTCAGGTTATTTGATCTTACCTTAGCCAGGATTTGTCAGGGAAGTGATGTGTCTGGAACTGAGCAACCAAACCAGACTTCTTCAGCTGCTCAAACAACCCGATGAGATTATGGGAGTACAACTGGAAAGATCTCCCTACAGCAGAACACAAGATATTCTAACATTACCTTCAGAYGTACAAATATTTTCCCAGCAGTCTTTTACACCATGAAGCATTCTTCTCATAAAGAAAGGTTAGATGTAAACAGGGGTGTGGTGATGATGATTGATGATGATGATATGAAGCGTGATTACCTTCTGATGAAGCCAGTTAGTAGAATATCAAATCAAGCCAGATGAGGAGGACAGAAAGAGTCCAAGGGAAGAGAAGAAAACAGAACTTAGTTACAGTGAGTGGTAAAATCACAAGTAGACCTAACATTTAGTAATCCTGTCGACTGGTTAAGAAAAGGACAGGCTCTGAAGAATCCAGCAGTGGTGGGCACCAGTCCACTAAAGCGCAAATCCACTAATTGTGGACCTAAATATTTCATTTGTGCTTTAGCGCACTTACTAATTTTTATAATTCATAAGCAGATTTGTGCTATCTAAAATTAAAATGCAGTTCCGCTAATAAATAATTTTCTACCAGTCATCATTTTCTTGAACAGCAGAAGGTATGACTG